TATCGCACGTAGGGAGTATTTTTTTTTATTTTTTTACTTATGTCTTTTGTGTTGCCCGATTTTAAATGTTATTCTTCTTTGAAATCTTTTGCAGTTAGAGGAGTTTTGCGAGTTTCCATGTCAGTGCCCGATCATGGAGTTAAAGTGTAACGAAGGCGTTAAAGTAATTCGTGATGGTTGTGATTGCTGCTACATGTGTGCCAGACAGCATGGAGATCGATGTAGCCCGAAGGAGAGATGCGCTGAAGGCCTCTATTGCCATCTCGGCGACGATAACCGAGGAGTGGGCATCTGTAAAGGTAGAGGGACAATTCAAATTCAATTTCTATCTTCGTCACTTTCTTTTCCTCCCTCTTCATCTTCTTTTCTTTCTTCTCTCTTTTTTTTCTTTTTCGCTTAAGAAAAATGTAAAAACTGCAACTGTTAAAGATACACTTCCTTTTCTTTAATTATATAACGTATAGTCTCGTGTAATAGTCTAATTCATATTTAGTGCAACCTCTGAATTTTTAACTTGTTCAATTGGCCACCGAAAATGCCTGATTTTTGATGCTTGATTTTTAAAACAAACGATATGCGTATAGTGCGAGACACTATTTTTTGCATAAAAAAACTGGTCAGAAAAACTCATATTATGCTCGAGTGTGTACGGTATATTATTTGAAAACAATAACAAACCAAACTTTGTGAATATATACCATGTAAAACACGATGACACAACAGATACCGATCCTGTTTTAACTAAAAGTACATCAGGCATTAACTCAGTTGAAAATTCCACTTATAAAGGATGCGGTAAGATGATTTGACACATTTGTACGTTTGATAAAAGCGAAGCGCTAAAGAACGAAAAACGGGTTTTATTTTTTTTAATAATATACATATAATGATATTTTGTGTGATTTCGTTTTAAAAAATTAAATCAATCAAGCAAATGCCGTTACCTTTCAAACACTGTCGAAGGCGTTCACGAAAATTGTCTATAACTTTACGCGTCACTTCATGTGGAATGGCAGCAATTTCTTAACAAATCGCGTCTTTTAAAAGTTCAGCAGATTGAGGGGGATAAGTGACTTTGAATTCAGGTACTCCCCACCCCCCAGAAGAAAAAAATTGTATGGGCTCAAATCAGGTGATCGGACGGGTCAGGGCTCTTTACGTAGCACTTACCTTGATAAAGGTGTCCACAATGAAAGCACAGTGCCCGCCCTTTCATTTCATGTTGGCAACTGAAAGAGAAATGAAACACAATGGCATTTTTTCTTTAATTACTCTATTTCGCTTTTATTAAACCTACAAATATGTCAGATCATTTTTCTGCACTCTATTACATCTTGAAATTCGCACATAAGACACTTTATAACATGCGCCATTTTTTCGATGGAAAAATATATTCATATATTCGTAGCATCATTATTCAGTCATCAGTATAAAATATTTTCTCTGCCTTTTTCTGATATTTCAGCTAAAAAACATATCACACCAAATGAATCAAACGTTTACCGCAGTCATTGAAAGGACAATAATTCATTTAAATTCATTGCATCAGTATTCACTCAGCATAGCAGCTTTCGTTGTTTCCGAAGCCCAGGATTTTTCATATTTTTTATGTATTTTTCTTAATTTGTGTTTGACCATTATGATTTTATTTATTTACTTTTAGCTTAGAAGCCGCCCTTCCGAAGGACTTTAGTCTACATAACGCGGATGGCCTTTAGACCTTAGGCCTTTTACTTTCTGCGTCCTAAGTTATAAGAATTTAGAAATAATAAAATTAGTTTATCTTTATTCGTCACCTTAATTCGGCAAAATCTTTCTTCGTATACGCAACCGATCTCGGTAGTTTGTTTATATATATTTTTCGCGCAATTTTATTTTCTTTTAAAATCCCAATTCTTTATGATCCCTTCATATAAAGTCACTCTTAAAAGACATTAGAGAACTCCGAACTATGTAATATTTCGTATATTTCACAGGACACGTTCTAGAAATACAAAGACAAATATATGACCAACGTATCGTACACTGCTTAAGTTGTAATTACTTTTTAATTAGACGATATCAATTACGACGAAAAACGAAATTAAAGCTAAATTTTTAATAGTTTTGTAAGCTTTTCAATCAGTTCGAAAATGAAATTTAACTTTAAATGAGTTAGTTATTTAATTTTAATCGCGTGTAACAACAGTAGTTACCACCAGTTCAGGTTGGTTATGATTCGCCAAGACGGAAGAACGGACGGAGGGACGGACACACGTACACTGTGTTTTATTTATATAGAAAAAAGAAGACAAATATTAATTGGAAGAAAAAGTCTTCGGGCTACCTTTAAGCTGATAAAAATAATAAAGCTGTAAATAATTGATGAATATATTGAATATATTAATAAATCTACATATATCTACGTTCGAACGTAGGTATATGTTTGATGATTTTTTGTGATGAATATATTCTTATATCCAAATATTTGGGTTATAAGAGAGTTGTCCCGGAGAAGTCTTTATATCCGGGTTTGGTTTGGTCTATTTTATATACATTAACACAGGCTCTAATTTGGGACCAGAGAAAATCTCTCATATCCGGGTTTCTCTTATATCCGGGTATCTTATATCCGGGTATCTTATATCAGGGTTACACTGTATAATGATCTAAGAAAGAAACATACGTAGTTACAACAGATAATTATAAATGCGGGTCCAAATATTTGGTTATAGCTGCGGGCCCGAATTCAATTATTATATATATATATATATATATATATATATATATAGAGAGAGAGAGAGAGAGAGAGAGAGAGAGAAAGAAAGAGAGAGAGAGACAGACAGACAGAGAAAAGAAAGAGAGAAATTTATGTTTGTATGTGCGCCTATGTGGTTTTACAAGCACGTCGGGCTTCTTTATTTGTTCTACCAGTAATACGTAACCTAACCCTACCTGATACATGATCGGGTTATCGGCGACCGAAACATCCAGTAGGCTCTTCTAGAAAGGATATTGGCTAGACATGCGCAAGTGTTTCCTCGGATTGAAACGCGTTATTTCCATTTTTATATCATATATATATATATATATATATATATATATATATATATTTATATATACAGTAATAACGACAAATGGAAAACTTATTTAACAACTTCTTTCGTCCTCCTTAAGGACGTCATGAAGGTGCGCGTCGATCAACAAAAGTTTTCTTTTTATCTTTATTCATATTGTCTTTATATGGATAATCTTTATTTATGTCTAAATTTTTACCCTTTCTGTATTTTCATTATTATTATTATTATTATTATTATTATTATTATTTTCTTTGATTTCTGGCGTTTACACATTTCTTTCCGGGTCCCGCCCAGTCACCTAAGGTTAGAAATGGCGTAATGACACTTTCCACTGACAAAAAAAAAAATTACATAGATAAAGCCCTTCGCAAAGTGTGGGCTGTACTTGTCAGAACAATTTTTTGTATCTCTTTGAGGCATGGACTTCCAGGAATCCCTTCAATTCTACTGGAATCTTTTCCAACCAGTCCTAGGGTTCCAACTATAACAGGGATTGTTGATGTTCCCATATGCCACATTTTCGAGATTTCTATTTCAAGGTCCTTATATTTTGAAAGCTTTTTGAATATCTTCAAAGATACATTGCAGTCAGCAGGGACTGCCATATCAATAAGGAGGCACTTTTTTTGTTTGTGGTCTTTAATAACCATATCTGGGCGGTTGGCTTTGATTGTTCTGTCAGTGTGTATTGTGTAGTCCCATAGAATTGTAACAGGTCCTATCTTCGTAACCGGGTCTGGGTGGTGTTCATACCAGTTTCTTTCAGTTTCCTTCCCGTAGAAGTTGCAGATTTTCCAGTGCAGATATTGGCCCACTCTGTCATGCCGGGCTTTATATTCAGTGGGTGCCAATATCGTGCAACCTGATACAAGATGATCAATTGTTTCTGGATATTTATCACAGAATCTGCATTTTGGGCTAACACAATATTTTAGTATATGTGCTTGATAATTCCTAGTTAGTTATTATTATTATTATTATTATTATTATTATTATATAATATTATTATTATATTATTACATTATATAATTATTATATTATTATTTATTTCTATTATTAGAGTATTATTTATTAGCAATCTTCCCTGTGTGAACAGAAGGAATGGCTGCTTGTAGAATATCCGTGTTTAATATATTACTAATATTAGTTTATTAGTATTTTCCTTTATCTTTTTTTATATTTATTTAGTATTTTATTCCTCGATTGAGTTTTAATGAGTGAGGAGCGTCAACCGGTCAATTTCCATAGTTTTCTTTTGTGTTAAATGCCAGTTTGTTTTTTTTTTATTCTACACCAAAAATAATATTTCAGTTAAAGTTTTCTCAGTCGACTTTTACAAAGATCATACTATGTCAATTTCTTGACCAGATTTTTCGTTGTCGGCTTCTACATGACAGATGTCAAAAATGAATTCTTGGACAGAAATCCGACACAGCCTATCTACGTGTTATGAATTTGAAACTTACCCATATTAATTCTAACTTGTCCCCAAATTCCAATGACATAAATGATAGTGAACAAAAATTCCTGAGTCGATTTGTACACATTGGATGTTATGAAAATCCCGAATCGACTTGTATACAGGCCTTACCATAATTATTTCTTGGCTGAATATCAATTGTTGGCCTGCACCCAAGATCGACTCATATACGAAATACAAACGTCTTAAGTGGATAATCGGATTTAAAATGGTGAAGTAATTCTAGTCGAGTGACTGGAACGGCACCATTTTGGACGGAATGGCCCAGATGTGCAAGTCTGTGTGAAACAGGCTCCCATTACTGGATATAAAATAAACGGAAAAACAACACTGCAGCCAAGAGGCGAGAAATACAAGGTGGTTAGGAGATGAGGCGATAACAGTTTTTGGACCAGACCAATAGGTCGGACTTGAGTCGTAGAGGCGCCGGCCTTTTCTTTTCAAAGTAATAATTTTGAGACGGAATTTGCGAGTTTAAGGCAAAGCGTTTGTGGATAGATAAGAAGAGATAGATATGGAAAGAAAGAAAGAAAGAAAGAAAGAAAGAAAGAAAGAAAGAAAGAGTGAGAGAGATATGTATATTCTTTGATAGATAATAAAGAAAAAGAAACGGAGTAAAAACATAAAATGAATACGGGAGGACATCATAAATAGATATATAGATAGATAGATTGGAATCAAATACAGATCATATATATATATATATATATATATATATATATATATATATATATATATATATATATATATATATATTTGAATTGATGTGAATTTGGACCCTGGTTTTCACGCTTTGGCGATCGTCAGACAAACGCTAAAGCGTGAAACCCAGGGTCACAAATTCACATCTATCCAACCAAATATGTTAGCTCTATCTCTGATATTGAGCGTTTTCTAATAAGTACCGCGCATATAATATATAAATAATTATACATATATATATATTTATTTATATTTATATACACTTTTCACACGCACACACACACACACACACACATATATATATATATATATATATATGTATATATATATATTAAGCGTTTCACCCCAAGCAAGGCGGGAAGCCACTAGGACGCAAGGGATTACAGAAGATTTGGAGCAAGATCAGATAGGAGTGATAGAAGAAAGGATGAGGAGAAGGGTAGTGGATAGATCAAGGCAACTGGAGATGTCGATTAACATTACATTTGAATAGTTAGTGATTATAGCTCTCAGGGAAACTGGAATACGGTAGGGAGTTCCACAGGCGAGTGGTGCGAGACGTGAAGCTATTGGAGTAGAAGAGACGGCTACATTTAGGAGTTTCGACAGTGAAAGGGTGAGAGCGGGATGCCAGCCTCGTAGGGCGCTTGAACGCATGAAGTCTGGGAACCAGCGAATGCAGCTCCTCAGAGCAATTACCATGAAAGTATTTGTAAAAAAGACAGAGAGAGGTGACGGCGCGTCTGTGAGAAAGTGACTGTAGACGAGATGCCAGAACAGGGCCAATTATATTGCATATCCACCTCTGGAGCCTATCAAGAACCCCGCGGCAAACAGAAGACCATATATGGCAGCAATACTCCATGAAAGGGCGAATTGTTGATTTGTAGATCTGGAGGATCGATTCCGGGGAGAAAAAATTCCTGACGCGGTACAGGGAGCCAACTTTCGTTGCGGTGGACGAAGCAATTGACTTAATGTATTTGTTCCATCACAGGTCAACAGTCAACGTGAGACCGAGCAGCCGCATAGAGATGCTCTCGAGAAGTTGAGCGTCAGACATTCTAATGGAGGGCAGGGAAGGATCTCTGTGGTGATTAATAGAGATATAGAGATATGGAATGATATAATAAAGAAGAAACAGGAAATGTTTCTCAATCTAACATGTTTCGCTTTTATTAATGCTTCATCAAAGAATGAGATATGGAGGGAAAAAAGAAAGATATTATGATATTGTTATTTTTTTGTGTGTGTGTGCTGTATGACTTTCATTGAATAATCATGTTTCAATTGTATTTGGCTTTTTAAACGTTAATGGTGTTCCGAATTCAAGGAGGGACAACACGTCTTTTCCAAGCCCCAAGCAATTAACGGATCCCAAGACTAATTAAAATACGTAAATATGGCTTTATGTATGTAAGTGTATAATAATAGTTTGTCTATGTAGGATTCAGATGATAAAGTATATGCGTGTGTGTCTGTGTGGGTGTATAGCTAGAAAGCATTACGTTTGGCGATTGTTCGCATGATGATTTGCGAAAGTTTTTTTACGTAAACAGAGTTTGTTTTAGATAAACATGTCATCCTTCCTAGGTTTTCTTTATCCTTTCATAGATAGATAGATAGATGGATAGATACGAGCTTACTCAGAGATAGATATATACGAACCGGTAGATATATAGAAAGATACGTGTTTACTCATAGATAGATAGATAGATAGATATGAACAGACTAATACATAGAAAGATATGAACAGATGCGATAGATAGATGAACAGACAGACACGTAGATAGACAGATACGAAGAGACTGCTATAGATAGATAGATAGATAGATAGATAGATAGATACGAACAGACAGATTCGTTGAAAGACGGATACCAACAGACTATGATAGATAGATAGATAGATAGATAGATAGATAGATAGATAGATAGATATGAACAGACTAATACATAGAAAGATATGAACAGATGCGATAGATAGATGAACAGACAGACACGTAGATAGACAGATACGAATAGACTGCTATAGATAGATAGATAAATAGACAGATACGAACAGACAGATACGTTGAAAGACGGATACCAACAGACTGTGATAGATAGATAGATAGATAGATAGATAGATAGATAGATAGATAGATAGATACGTTGAAAGAGGGATACCAACAGACTGTGATAGATAGATAGATAGATAGATAGATAGATAGATAGATAGATAGATAGATACGTTGAAAGACGGATACCAACAGACTGTGATAGATAGATAGATAGATAGATAGATAGATAGATAGATACGAACAGACAGATACGTTGAAAGACGGTTACCAACAGACTATGATAGATAGACAGATAGATAGATAGATACGTAGAAAGACGGATACCAACAGACTGTGATAGAGATAGATAGATAGATAGATAGATAGATAGATAGATAGGTACGAACAGACAGATACGTTGAAAGACGGATACCAACAGACTGTGATAGATAGATAGATAGATAGATAGATAGATAGATAGATAGATAGATAGATTCCAAGCAAAGACTAAAACAACCGACATACCGTTTGAAACTGAAAACTTCTATTTGTAACCCTACTTTACTACTAAGCTACATTTTCTTACACAAACATTAAAGCCAAGTGAAAGAAATAAAGAGAGAGAGAGGGGGGGAGAGAGAGAGAGGGAGAAATGGTAAAAAGTATGATTAAAAGAAAAAGCAGATAAACACCGAAAAGTTATAGAAAGAAAAGGAAGAAGAATAACAGAAAAAAAGGGAGAGTAGGAGGGGGGAAGCAACATGTGTACTGGTGCCAAATTGCAGAGAAACTTTTGGCGTCGAAGAACGACGTTTTGTCCTGTGCAGCTCGAGGCACTTGGAGCAGAATTTCAAGTTATATGCCATAAACAGACACACGAAATATTCAATGCTATTGCGTTGGAAAAACATGGCAGATTTAGGCCCGAATTTTGCCCACAGCGCTGTCAATCAGTCTTAAGTTCTTTACGTTTGCGTGGACAAAAACTCCGAGGACGCCACTGGAAAAGTGCATAAATTTTAGAGAAATACATAGATATTGTCTGATGAAGATAGATAGATAGATAGATAGATAGATAGATAGATAGATAGATAGATAGATAGATAGATAATGTACAGAATGAGATAGATAGATAGATAGATAGATAGATAGATAGATAGATAGATAGATAGATAGATAATGTACAGAATGAGATAGATAGATAGATAGATAGATAGATAGATAGATAGATAGATAGATATGTATAGAATGAGATAGATAGATAATGTAAAGAATGAGATAGATAGATAGATAGATAGATAGATAGATAGATAGATAGATAGATAGATAGATAGATATGTAAAGAATGAGATAGATGGATAGATAGATAGATAGATAATGTAAAGAATGAGATAGATAGATAGATAGATAGATAGATAGATAGATAGATAGATAGATAGATAGATAGATAATGTAAAGAATGAGATAGATAGATAGATAGATAGATAGATAGATAGATAGATAGATATGTAAAGAATGAGATAGATAGATAGATAGATAGATAGATAGATAGATAGATAGATAGATATTTTCTGATGGAGTTTCAATAAAAGTGCAACGTGTTAGATTGACAAATGTTTCCGATTTGCTCTTTAACTTATTATTCAGTCGTATTCCGATGTACATTTTGGCTGTATTTAATCATGGTTCATAAAGAGATGTATGCGAGGAGATAGATAGATAGATAGATAGATAGATAGATAGATAGATAGATAGATACGGAAAACCGCTGTTAATCAATTTATCAAATTCTAGGCACTCTCGAAGCGAGAAAAGTTCAAGACCCCCTCAAATATACATAAATAGATAAATACAAAAATCTAAGGCTGTTGCACCGAGGAATATTCGACAGCCTCTCATAGATAGATAGATAGATAGATAGATAGATAGATAGATAGATAGATAGATAAGTCGATATAACGTATATCGAAATGTGTATATATATATATATATATATATATATGGCATATTTTTCACAGTAAAATGACTTGCAGCCCTACATATGTTGTTCTGACAATACTAAAGAATTGCAAACAAATTTACTATGAAGAAATCGATAGAATTTTTCCTGAATAAACATTGAAAATCTGTCAGAAAAGTATTCTACACTGACATAAACACTTATATGAAATTATGCAATGTAACAAGATTGTATAGCGACAAAGCTTTACAAGGGGATCGGAGTGTCTCTCTATCATTTTCACGTTGCACCTTCTCAATGATATATATATATATATATATATATATATATATATATATATATAAGAATAGGATTAGTGTATACGGAATAAATTCTAATAACCAAAAACGTACTATTCTAAAAAGAGTGCTCAATACAGAGTTGAGCAAATCTAATTATTTTTTCTAAAATTATAACATAAATATGTTATAAAATCACTACAAAAGTAGCCATTTTGTTTCAACACCTGGTAAGCCACCAGAAGTCTTCAAACAAAATGGCTATTTTTGTAGTGATTTTATAATATATTTACGTTAGAATTTTCGAATATATACATACATATATATATATATATATATATATATATATATATACTTGCTATATACTTGCTATACGTGCTAACAGCAAGCAGAAATATTTCTCCTCCCGATGATGGCCATTTTTTGGTCGAAAACTAGTGGAGGAATCTAAATGGAATAATAATAAAAAAACGAAAGAATATTAATCTACAACCCAATGTGTCTAAAGATTTTAAATTTTTATTTTTTTATTGTTCAATATATATATATATATATATATATATATATATATATATATATATATATTTTAGAATATTAAAATAAAAGATGTCAAAAATCGCTGCACAATTGTGATCGTGTTTCGATGCATATACCTGGATATATATATATATATATATATATATATATATATATATATATATATAAAGAGAGAGAGAGAGTGAGAGATACAAGTGACTGAGAATACAACAGCTTATAAGCCAGAAGTATTCTGGTAAACGCCTGTTTCTTTTACTCTATCAACTTCCATTTTCTTAGCCAGCCTGGAACATTTCAGCCGACCTTCATATATACATAACCATTAGACTGAATAACATTTTTGATAGATTTTTTAATAATTATGTACATTTCTGTAGTAAAATAATTTCCACTGAATGTCTCTACATTAATTTTGAATTTGCTGTGATCCTCTATACGCAATCATTAGAATTAATGATAGTTTCGAAAAGTTAGTATAATAAATTGTTATATAATGTATATCTATAGTAAACTGTTATAATGTATATCTATAGTAAATTGTTATAGTGTATAACTATAGTAATTTGTTATAATGTATATCTATAGTAAATTGTTATAATATATATCTATAGTAAAATATCCTTATTCTCGGCGATCAGTCCTCACACCTTTTCGAATACGCAATTGTTGTGTAAGTCTATAAGTAAAATTTTTATGCAAGAAACATTTTTATGCCACACTGTCAAAAGAAAATGGAAGTTGATAGAGTAAAAGAAACAGGCGTTTACCAGAATACTTCTGGCTTATAAGCTGTTGTATTCTCAGTCACTCACAGAAAATATTGCAGCAAAGTGGAACGATGGGAAATAGCTTATAGCCTCTTGTGTAAGTCGATGGTAGAACATCCATTGAACAGATAGTAAAAAGTCATGCATTGGTTTGAACTACGAATAAGAGAAACATATGGAAACGCATGGTTGCCTGTGTCCTGAAGAGACACTGCAAATACTAGAATAAGTGTGTTCTACGTCCCTGTCCTTGTGTCAGATAGCGGTAAGTATGGAAACATCTATCTTTCTTTAATTTTCGTTTTGTTTTGATATGTTTTACGAGATGAATAAGCTTTCGCAAGATCTGTCAGATAAACACGTTTACGTCCGTCACATATCGTCTTTCGGATGAAAGGCGATAAATTTTAATGCTGTAATCACAATCAGAGCCTAAAGCGGCTGTTATTCCATAGCAAATGACAGGAGACAAAAGCCGCGAAGATTTAGTTAAGAAGAAGATAGGAAAATTGGGAAAAGCTGTCAGTGGTTGGGAGAGATCATCTGGATGGCGGTAATCCGATCAACCGGGCACACAAATAATACTGATCGATTGATGCTTCTAGTTTGTTTATGATAAAATCTGTGCGACATGTGAGATCTAGAAAATAAACAGATCAAATCTTGATTCCGCCATATTTGAAAATGAGTTGTCTCCCTTGTACGTCACAAAGAACTGTTGTTACTGCTAGATAACCGTGCCATATTTAAGAAGCGTATTGCAATAATCCAGAACCTATATTGTGAGAAAACCACCTGCATGCACATGAACAAAGAATTTAATGCATACACAAAAATAGAAAGGAATGTACGACAAGGATTTGTCTTCTCGCCGGATTTATTCAACCGAAACAGTGAGGCGTTTCTGAGAAAACTAGATGTCCTACTTGGATTCATTATTAGTGGCCACAATTTTAACAACATAAGATAAGCAGATGACACCGTGCTGATAGCAAATAGTCATATAGGAAGAAAATGAGTAACTACTGACACCGAGATTCGAGCGTGACACTCTGGACTTATTAATATGTTTTCCGCTCGGTTTATAAATAGCGGTGTCAGGCTGCTGACTGCAGTGATTATTGATTGGAACTGTCCAGTCGAATTAGTGTTGATTTTTGTGCGTCAATGAATAGGGGGTTTTGATTTAGGATTTACCGGACGTTAAGCTGAGCTCCGCTACTAAATAGGTATTCACTGAAATGGTTAATAATCTTTGGCTGACTTTTACTTCGTTGTTCTTATATATTCATTTAATGTTGTAATTAAATACTGTTTTATTTTAACATTGAAGTATTGCGTGATACTTAATTATTAACGGCCACCGTACGTCACAAAACAAATACAGAAAGGAAACTAAAATAACTCCTAGAAAACTCCTAGAAACTAAAATAACTCCTAGAAGGAAAGCGAGAAGAAAGGACTAATCATTAATTGTAAAAAGACATAATATATAGTTGTTAGTAAAAGGAACAGCCCAACCAAATTGGAAATACCAAAGATTTCCAAGATTGTCTGGCTCAAAAGGTTTATTCCAAATAATGTGCATATATTATTGAAAATTTTCATTCTTTTCCATATTAAGACATGTACATTTATATGGATTATTATTATAGAGAATTTTTACAAATTTAATAGCAACAGAAAATGTTGATGGATTTTTAAACTTGAATAAATGTACAGTGATGAGTTTTAATTTACAACTTAAATATTATTAAATAAATAAATTGAATAATACTTCAATAAAAAAAACCTTCTGTAGAATTAAAATTCAATAAATAAAATTTTGTAAATAAAAAAACAAATAAACGTAAAAGAGTACCCACTCGTTTCTGAAACTATCAACCCCTGCCACCCAGTGGAGAATTTTCCCTCATTGAGAAGCGCTGGTGAAAATGATGGAGCCTTTGTCATATGACATTTCACCGAATATAAAATCTAAACAGTCTTGATTGAGAGGGCCAACCATTCGTACAGAATAAAGAAATGTTGAACTATATTCATCATTTTAGATATAGTCAAGAATCGAAAGTAATGTGGCAATTAATCAGACGCTTCGTTTTAAAACCAAATGGCAGCCAACTGAATCAGTTCTGTTGACAAGAAAATTCGATTGTCTAAACTTTGGTGAAAACTTTCAGAAAAAGTTCAAAATGCACCTTACATACGAGAGTCGTCTTCACTCTTTGCTACATACTTTCTTCGAAAGGGTAGAATTACTTTCATCTTCGTTCTTTTGATTTTTCTTTTGCAGTTCGAAAATGCGGCAGTGATCTTTGAACTTTCGAATTCTGGTTCATAGCATTTATGGCCCTGTTCGATTTATATAATTCGTGAATGTTGGTGGAGGATGTAGTGAGTCGGTTTGACAAATAGGTTTGGCCCAAAGTGAGTGAATTCTTTGCTTACCAATGATACCTAGTTATAATGCGTTGATGGCAGGAAACAATGTGAAGTCAAAGAAACAGACAAGAAATGGATGAATGAATGATGATGTCTCGATGGAAGAGGGTCACGTGCAATAAGAAGATATTTCAAGAAAGAAAAAAAGAGGAAATAGACAACAAAGGTATGAAAAAGCATGGTATGTGACGGGAGAAAGAAAGAAAGAAAGAAAGAAAGAAAGAAAGAAATATAATAATGCAACGAAAGAAAAAAGAAAGAAAGAAAGAAGGCAAAGAAAGAAATAATGAGAAGAAAGAAAGAAAAAATGGCCAAAAAGAAAGAAAGAATGAAAGAAAGAAAGAATGCAAAGAAAGAAAGAAATAATGTAAAGAAAGAAAGAAATAATAGAAAGAAAGAATAAAGAAAGAAAGAAAAAATAAAAAAGAAAGAAAGAATCGAAAGAAAGAAAGAAGGAAATAATGGAAAGAAAGTAAGAAATTTAGAAAGAAAGAATTAAAGAAAGAAAATCGAAATATTGCAAAGAAAAAATTTTAAAAAAGATTAAAGAAAGAAATAATTCTAAGAAAGAAAAAAGAAAGTAACGAAAGAAAGAAGGCAAAGAAAGAAATGATGCAAAAAAATAAAGTACGAAATAATACAAAGAATGCAAAGGAAGAAAGAAATTATGGAAGAAAGAAAGAAGGAATAAAAGAAAGAAAGAACGATAGAAAAGAAAACACAAAATAATTAAAGAAACGAATGAAAAATAGAAAAAAAAAAAGAAATAAATGTTCAAAAAGAGAAAACGAAAGAAATTAAAAACTAGAAAAATCTTCCGATTTCTAAGACGGGCGCTAAATGAATTATCGGACGAAGAAATAAAACTGAAAAGAAGAAAACAAACTTCGCGGATGGATCAGAAGCCTAATCATAATCTGCCAACGAAAGACTGAAAGGAAAGAAAGAGATCGATGAAAAAAGAACGAATTACCGGTAATCGGCAAATTTTCCAGCCAAGAAGAATCTACAGAAAATTATTTCCACTTGAGATAAACAGATTTATGCTTCGTTCCGTCTTTTTTCGATTTCGTGGTCAATTTCGCCTATTTAGACTTCCCGGCTGTTCGACTGACACAACTCGATTCATTGCAAATTATGAACAATTAGAAAATGGAAACGAACCATTCAGAGTAAGACACACACAGTTACTTCCATTCTTTCTTTTCCCTCATCATCTTCATTATTATTATTATTATTATTATTATTATTATTATTATTAATAATAATAATAATAATAATAATAATAATAATAATAATAATAATAATAAATTGAAGTAGATAGATTCGCCTATCGTCTCTTCCCCAGTGTTTTAACTTGTTTCCCGTGTAGGATTGGGTTTTCGATTCCGTGTAATGTTTTTGCTTTCCCTTTCACTACAAGGAGTCCCTTGCGTCTTAGTGTCTTTATCGCCTTGCTTGGGGTGAACTGATTAAAAACATTTTTTTTTATTTACTAAAACAGCAGCAAGCTCATAAAGTAACACTGGAGTACACGTTTTTTTCATGTGCTGCGTCCATTCAGAACATAGGAGATCATGACTCTCCACAACTTCCTCTCTCGTGTGACTCTTAACAGACCTCAGCAGATCATGTTCCTTGTATAATTCGTTGGATATCCACCTGATATTCTCAGTGTTGTTTTCTTTATTGTATGAATGCCTACAGATTTTGAAACGTTAGTTAAAATTCGATTGTGTTATCCACTCCTCCTAATTACGGCGCCCCTTCAGGATATAGGCGACAATGACTCTCCACAACTTTCTATTTTGTGTGGTTCATTTGCTTAAACCCTCGCACCCCCTTTGTTCCGCCATTCAATCAAATTCGTCAGATAATTGGCTCGTTGTTTTCCCTTATATCTCTTGCTCTCAATATGACCCGTGAGGGTTAAATTTTCCAAGCCCTCTTTTCTCATTATATGTCAGTTTTATAAGGTTATAAAAGGCATCACAGCCAATATAATTACTGAGTTAGCACGCCAAGAAATAAGGCTGCTTGACACGTATAGGAATCCCAATATTCCCATTAAAACACCAAGTTTTACAAGAGTATGCTAGACACGCGTATTACAGCCCAAATGGTTAACTGCGAGAGCAGACAGCCAATAAATAGATACGGGCTTAGAGGAAAATAAAGGCCAAATGTATCCATCAAAATAAGAAGGTTTACAAGCTTATAACAGACACATACATCACAATCAAATATTGTTATTGAGAGAGAGAGAGAGAGAGAGAGAGAGAGAGAGAGAGAGAGAGAGCTTGAATTTAAATATCAGTCAATCAGTCAGTTATGTGCCATGTTTAGACGAGGCAGAGGTTGCCATTTCTTTCTGTGGTAGACCAGTTGTCATCCAAAGCTATAGAACCCTCCTGATCTGCTATTTACCCATAGCTCGGTGGGGTTGAGAAGAAGAGGATTCATACCTTTCCAAGTATCAGTCAGTCAGTTATGTGCCATGCATGATACACGCTTAGGCGTTCAAGTATCTTTCGATACATGACTGACGAGGCAGATTTTTTTTTCCTGCAGTAGGTTGCCATTTCTTTCCAGCCAAGGCTATAGAACCCAGTCTGTCCGGCTAGTTACCCGTAGCTGGTGGGTAGAAGAAGAGGATTCATACATTTCCCCAGGGTATTAGCGTGTTAGTGAATGTAATGGATTCGATTAGAATTCGAACTCGTTATCCATTACTCTTCCGTGCCTCTCATTTAAATGTACCCGTCATGACAACCTGACTTAAAAAGATATAATCAAGCATATGAATTATAGTCAATATCATTATTGAGGGAGAAAGCAGTACGTAGGTACATGGAGATGGTGTGCAAATATAGGAAAAGCCCAATGTGCCAACCATTGGGCCTAGTCTAATAAGGCTATATCAGTCAAATGACATCATATGCAAATATTCGCAATATCGTGACAGGTTTTGATAAAAGCATGCTATATCTTTGCAGAGGGGTGCCATTTAGATAGCTATCATTTCGGCTTATCTTGTGGTTTCCAACATGGGATGTACGCCTCATGGGGGGGATTTTTATGCAATGCAATTGGAAAATGACTTGTGTAAGTATGAGTGCGTGTGTGTGCAAGTTAATACATACAGTGCATATGCAATATGCACGCATGAAAATATTTTCGTGTATGTATGTACATGTGTAATTACGTATCTACTATATATATATATATATAAGTGTGTGTGTGCGTGTGTGTGTAGGATATACCTGTATGCATATATATGAATATATATGTATACATAGGTGTATGATTATATATATATATATATATATATATATATATATATATATATATATATATATATATATATATATATATATATATATTTATATTTATTATTACCGTTTAATCTTACTTACTCTTTAAATAATTTCTAATTAGAATTGTAAGTTTGGAAATTTTACTCATCTGGAGATAATCTCAATTTTAGTTGATCACTTAGATTTAAATTAAAATATCTTTCTCCTTAACCATTATTCATGATGTTAAAAATATTAAAATTAAAAATATTTTTGAAATTTAAACGCTTAATTCACCACCTAACGTTAACTGTAAAATTTAAGAAAAAAATTAAATATGTATAGAAATGGATGCGTGTGGAGATATGTAAATGTGTATGTAAGTATTTGTATATGTATATGCATATATACCGATGTATATCAAGACATGTGTATGTGGTTATATGTGTAATTGCAAATGTACATGAATGTATGTGTATGTGTTTTTACGTAAATATGTATGTGGTGTATGTATGAAAAAACAGTATTTTTTTTACTATTACCTTCAAATCTTACAAAATCTTGATTTGAAACCTAAACTTTAATTAAGAAATATTACCCATCTAAAAATAGCTATAATTTAAATTCATGAATTAGACTCTAACTGATAAAGATTTTACCTTTACAGTCATTCACAATATTAAAATATTACTATAAGTAATTTTTTTATTTTTTTATTATTGTTGTTTATTGATATAGTATTCGACTTATATTAAATCCCTAATTTATTTGTGGAGAAGTTGAATATTTAAATAGCTAACAAGCATTAAATTGAATTTCTTTGTGAGGTTTTTAAACATTTAAATTACTATCAAACGTTAAAATCTGTTTTAATCTGAACTGGTAAAGCTATACCACCCCCTCTTCTTCCTCCGAAAACCCTAAGTACATCTCTTTTGTCTTTACTTCCCCCTTTTTTTCTTTTCACTTATTTCTCTTTTTCCTTTTCTCAGAAGTGTTGACTTCTATGTTCACTTTTATATTTACACACGCTCTATCTCTGATATTGAGCACTTTATACCATAAATATAGCACACCTTAAGACTATCTTTCTTCATATATATATATATATATATATATATATATATATATATATATATATATATATAAGATAGATAAATCAAACGGCTAAATATGAGAAAGAGTATACACGTATGCTGGTGTGCATACACGGTCAAGCAAATAAATTTATACATGAGGTATAAACATAATAGTGCTCGATGTGGTTATGCAGAGCAAAGGTATATGCTAATTAATACATATACGTCGACCAACGTGTTGGTGTGAGACTAAAGTTTCACTGGATTACCAGCTCCTCGGTCACAAGTTGTATGTTGTTAATTTGCTTATTTGTTTAGTTTTAACAACATACATCTTGTATGAAAATATTTGTAGAAAAGACAGACGGAAGTCAAATCACATCTGTGAGAAAGTGACTGTAGACAAGATGCCAGGTTAGGACAGATCACATTGCATACCCGTTTTTTGGGGATTTTGTCGAACATCTCAAGATGAACAGCGGGGGCACCAGACCATATATGGCAACAGTATTCAATAACAGAATTTTCTTACCAATAGGAGGAATGTAGAGAACCAGTTGCTAAGAACATTCTGTTTTTTGTTACTATTAGTTAGGTTATTTAATTAAATTCATTTCGTTTTTTCTTTTGCTTTGAGAAAGTCTACATTGGACGAAACGCATCAGCAATAACTACAGTTTTCCTATTGTCATTTATATTTATAAATATTCTCTTTTCAACAGGTTAACTCTGAGAAATTTTCCTATATATATATATATATATATATATATATATATATATATATATATATATTGATAAAATATAGTTTAAGGAGCTATATTTATAGGATGAAGAGCTAAATATCAGAGATAGAGCGTATGAAATATAAAAGTGAACATTAAAGTTAACATTTAGAGGGGACAGACTGTTTCATGCTACATGTGTGAAATATGGATGATAACTCTTTGCCCATAGTTGGGGCCATAACAGGTGCTACCACCGGGATAGAGTGGACCTGTGTACAACAGCAATTAAGAGTTGGTTCCTTGCTTCTCAAAACCTTCCGGTCAGAGGCCTTCCTACTCGATGTCGTTTATCCCCATGATGAAGAAAAACAGATAATGTGTGTAGCTTCAGAAGTGAACTTCTCTGAAGGAGATTAAATGCCGAATCGATATATGTTGTAGTTTTCTTTATTTTTTTATAGCACTCGTCCTGATACTTTTTGATCAGACCTCGTAAAGGTAATTTACATTATTTACATTATTCGAACTCTTATCCTCATATCCATTGCCATATTCACAGCCTTTCGGCCGTTGTACGCTCCGGCCTTCTTCAGGTGAGTGGAATTTCGAACCGAACCCTTTATATCGTCCATCAGGGTAGATTATTGTAATCCACGTGCTATGCCCCTTCTGGATGTCTCAGTTATTTCCCTTTAACTCAACTCTCCAAGTTTTTGGTTCACGACTGCTGTAGACTGGTATTGAACTCACAACTCTTTGGGTTTAGTTACTGGATTGTAAAGGTACTTTATACTTTTTTTTTTTTTTTAAATAATCAAAACGAGCTAAAAATGGAAATTATTTATGACTCATCCTAATCGTACAGCAGTCGTAAAGTAAACGTTTCTGGAAGATTATCCGAACGCAGTACTTTGGAGACAAAGATGAATGGGTGCAAAGGAATACGGCTCGAAGCAAAGAGAGAGAAAAGTGACATATTCGTTTATCCGTCGAAATTTACAGCTTGGCAGATGACAAGCAAGAAGCACGGCTGTCAGGGGCGTTCCAAAAAAGAGACGACAAAGTTGAGGTAGTGATCTGTACGCAGGCACCTTGTGATGTTGACGCCGGAAATTTTCAGGTGCCATTCCTCAAAGTACGAGATCAGGAAAGAACAAAAACACCAAAGGCAAGTGAAATTTCAAGGCGAATGGCTACAAGACTTACGATTGCATGCATGCTGTCCGACTTAATATCAGTAAAGATGACTAGAGTATATTACCGTATATATTTAGAGTGTGTATATCAAAATGAATATACTTCTAGCTTTCTAAGTATGTGTGGACATGAACATAATATTACTTTTGATAGTCTATGAAAAGTGATATTTTTGATAAAATATATATTGTTCTACATAGCTACTGATTAATTAAAAGAAAAAAACTTGTAGTTCCAACGAATGATTTATTTCATGGAAATATTTCGGCTAGCTGCTGCTAGCCTTGGTCACTCATTTAATTTGAGTAAAACGATGCAAAGAAACTAGAATCGCTTAAGAATTCAAATCAATGAAAAAACCGAGTTGATGACGTTTTCAAAGAGCATACGCTTTTTTTAGCGAGGTCCATGCCTTATTCGTATCAAAGGTAGGAGGCTTGTCTCCTCGCTAAAAAAAAAAAAGCATATTCTTACTTTTAAAAAACGTCATAGAAACAAGGGATAAACCTCTACTCCTGTTCAAAATACCGAAGAAAGTGTGAACCTGGCGATAGGCGAAAATATCTACTCGTATGTATGTGAGTGTATGTAAGCTTATTTCTCCCTTTTCAATATATATATATATATATATATATATATATATATATATATATATATATATATATATATATATATATATATATATATATATATATATATATATATATATGTGTGTGTGTGTGTATGACGAAAAATCATATATACATATTAATACGTGCATATATATATATATTATGCTTATACATTCTTTTTATAGATACATGTATTTAAATAAATGCTCTGTTATATAATAAACAGTATTAATAACATTTACCGGCCTGAATGTCCGAGAAATTTTCATAGAAAATATTCGTTCCAAACAGGAATCGAACTTGTGTCCTATACGGAAACGTCATTTAGCCTGACGTGCCTTAACCGATCGAGCCACGGACGATCGTTCGATTTGCAAGGTCGATTTTACTGTCTTTAAACTTCAATCTTCCATGAATCTCTCACGTCCATTCATATCTGTTTCAAAGCGTATCCAAATGTAAACAAATGTCGTCACACATTATGAAATTATGAAATGATCTTACTTTACAAACGTCATGAAATCGGTTTTTTTCTGCTGGGGGGGTCCTGGATTTCTAAATTAATTCTTAAGCCTTTGAAGTTTCTTTGCATTGTTTTACTCAAATTAAAGGAGTGACCAAGACTGACAACAGCTAGTTTAAATATTTCCATGAAATAAATCATTCGTTGGAACTACAATTTTTTTCTTTTAATTATACAACTACCAACGGAGACAAGTTTCGTAACTTTGCTATTGAATAATTTATTGCCAGAAATACCGTTCGCTTTAAGATACCTTGAATTATGGGATAATAGCTACTACCATGGTTATCTGAGTATATTACTTGCATTATTTACATTATTAGAGCTGTTATCCATATATTCATTGCCATATTCACAACTTTTCGGTCGTTATACGCTCCGGCCTTTTTGTCTATGTCTCTCTCTATGTCTGTCTATATGATTGAGTTGAGGTATTATGATTACTTGCATTATTTACATTATTCGGACTGTTATCCTCACCTTCATTGCTATATTCACAATGTTTCGACCATTGTACACTCCGGCTTTCTTCAGGTGACGGGAATTTCGAATCGAAGCCTCTATTTCGTTCAAAGGGTTTGGTTCGAAATTCAATCACCTGAGAAGGCCGGGAGCGCAAACGACCGAAAAGTTGGGAATATGGCAATGAAATGATAACAGTCCGAATAATGTAAATGATCTATAATCATAGATCTCATCTCAGAGATACAGACAGATCTTTGAATATAATACGTCACACACACACACACACACACAGACACACACACACACACACACACACATACACATATATATATATATATATATATATATATATATATATATATATATATATATATATATATAAAAAACTAAAATAGAATGACTGGCTAGTAAATTTATTCCTTAAAGGGTTGAACAAGTTTGTACATCAGGTGATGCGGTGTATGAAAAGACTTGAAAGAAAGTTACCATAAATTGATCCTTAGAGCCTGTTATTTTTTTACCACCATAGTCATCATAAATTCAAATTCAAATTGCTCTCATGAAGATAACCCTGATAATAATAATAATAATAATAATAATAATAATAATATCCAGCCTAAATAAATAATTTAAAATAAAGTAAAATAAAAGATAAGTAATTCAATATATACATAAATATAGAGAACAAATTTAAGCCTAGAATGATAAACGTAATAAAGATAAACGTATTGATAAATATTAAAGGTGATGTATACATCGACAAGATAATCATACATCTAACCACATATAAAAACACAAACATGCGTGATAAGCTTTATAATCACACACACA